TCCAAAGCCGTTTGCGCCCACCGCGAGGGACCCGTCTCAGCTGCAGCAAACCCTAAACCCTAAACCCTAAACCCTAAACCCTAAACCCTAAACCCTAAGCTCTAAACCCTAAACCCTTGATAAACTCTTGGGGGGCTCCAAGGGACACTCACCGCTGAAGAGCCGCAGCACTCTACGCTCTGCGTCAATCCGCCCTTCCTGCAGCAGCAGCAGCAGCAGCAGCAGCAAAAAAGCTAAAGAGTTCAGTAGAGAAAAAGAAAGAGCTGCAAACAGTGGCGCGAAGCCAGCAGCAGCAGCAACAGCAGCAGCAACAGCAGCGGTAACAGCAGCAGCAAAAGCAGTAGCAGCAAAAACAGCAGCAATAGCAACAGCAGCAGCAGCAACACCAGCCGCAGCAGCAGCAGCAGCTCACAATTCGTCCTGAAGACAACAAGTCAACGGCGAGTTCTTCTGCCTGAGCTCAAAACCCTAAACCCTAAACCCTAAATCCTAAACCCTAAATCCTAAGGCCTGTCGACAGCAAGCGGCAACTCGAGCACGGCCTTGCTGCGGCGCCTAGCCAACAAGGGTTTAGGGTTTAGGGTTTAGGGTTTACTTCTTCCTCTGAAATATCAAGAGACTCTGCGAGTCGCGAAAAGGGCAACGAGGTGTACAGACAGCACAGGGCGCAAAAATCTGCAGCAGCAGCAGCAGCAGCAGCAGCAAAAGTAGCAAGGATAGCGGGCGAGCAGCAGCATCACAGCAGCAGCAGCTGCTGCTGATCTGTCTGCAGCAGCGAACGGAGCAGCAGCAGCAGCAGCAGCAGCTGGGAAGCCCTAGGGCAAATGCAGCAATAATAATAGCAGCAGCAAAAGCAGCAGAGGAAGCAAAACGTAACAGCAGCGGCAGCAGCAGCGCCCACAACAACAAACGGAGCAGCAGCAGCAGCAACAACAACAGAAGCAGCAGCAATCAAAGCACGAGTAGATGCAACAGCAATAACCCCAGCAGCAACAACAGCAAAAACGAGAACAGCAGCAGCAACAGCAGCAGCAAGAGCAACAGCAGCAGCCGCAGTAGCAAGAACAGCAGCAGCAGCAGCAGCAGCAGCAGCTGCAGCAGCAGCAGACTTTTGTGCAGAATTGCAGTCCGAACAGTGGAGGTTATTTGGCCCTCAGCAGCCATGGTAGCTGCAGCAAACCGCAAATGCCCCAAACCCTAAACCCTAAAGCCTAAACCCTAAACCCTAAACCCTAGGAAAAGAGCTTCAAAAGCAGTCCACGCAAGAGCAGCAGCTAGAACACCCTCAGGGTCGAAGGGCTACAAATTAGGGTTTAGGGTTTAGGGTTTAGCGCTCAGTGACTCCTCAGTTTAGGGGCTGCAGCAGCTAATTTAGGGTTTAGAGTTTAGGGTTTACTCATAATTGCATTTGCTGCCTCTTTAGATATAAATTTGTTGCGGCAGACGCCAGCAAGGACAGCAAAGTTGCTGCTGCTGCAGAGCCGAGGGTCCTGCAGCAAACCTTAAACCCTAAACCCTAAACCCTAAACCCTAAACCCTACACCCTTGACTCGGAGCTGTTGCACTCTGTACACCTCCAACAGCAGCACGAGCAGCAAGGAAAAGCAACTACATGAAAACCTCGCTGCAGCAGCAGCAGCAGCAACAGCAACAGCAGCAGCAGCAACAGCAGCAGCTGGGGTTGCAACAGCAGCAGCAGCACCAGCAGCAGCTTGCCTGCAACATAGTCTGCTGCAGCTGCTGCTGCTGCGGCCCCTCAGGAGAAAGTAAACAGCAAAGGAAAGAGAGCAGCAGCAAACGAAAAACATCCTTTTCGTCCTGCAGCAGCAGCAGCAGCAGCAGGAACAGCAGTAAAGAAGAAAATGGGCAGCAGCAACAGCAGCAGCGGGAATCCAAGACAGCCGCCGCAGCAGCGAAGGCAGCAGCAGCAATGGTAGCAGCAATTCTAGACGCGACAGACGACCAGCAGCACAAACAGCAGCAGCAGCAGTAGCACCAGCAGCAGCAAAGGAATTCAGCAGCAGCAGCAGCAACAGCAGGAACAGTGTACTCAAACCTTTCTTGCTGCCTTCAAGTCCGCTTGATACAACTCGTACAAGCTGCAGCAGCAGCAGCAGCAGCGGCAGCAGCAGCAGCATAACGGCTACGATGCAGCAGGGACAGCAGCAGTAGCTAGCATGCAGCAGATTCAGCAGAGCTGCGGCAGCAGCAGCAGCAGCTCTGCAACAGCAGCAGCAGCACCAACAAAAAGAAGCAGTAACATCAGCAGCAGCAGCAGCATAGCAGCAGTACAAACAGCAGCAGTAACACCAGCAGCAGCAGCAGCAGCAGCAGCAGAAAGCCACATTAGTCGTCGCTGCTTCGGCGTACCGAGTTGCTGCTTCTGTCCATTTGCTGCGGAACTGCAGCAGCTGCACCTGCAGCAGCTGCAGCAAAACAACAGCAAGCACCAGCAGCAGCAGCAACACCTGCAACGGCCGCAGCAGCAACTGCAGTAGCAGCAGCAGCAGCAGCAGCAATGCAAAGAAACCACTACGGAGCCGCCTCAACCTCCAGAGCACCCAGACAACGACCAGCAGCAGCAGCAGCAGCAGAAGCAGCAGCAGCAGCAGCAACAGCAGCAGCAGCAGGACTCACAGCAAGTCTGCGTCTCAGCAGCAGGTCTGTGCAATCAGCAGCAAATGATGCAGCGCGGCCGACGAATGGCTCAGCAGCAGCAAAATCTCCCGCCTTAGCGTACGCCTCTGCAGCAGCAGCAGCAGCAACAGCAGCAGCAGCAGCAGCAGCAGTAGCAGTAGCAGCAGCAGCAGCAGTTTGAAAGCGTTTCCTGCTGCTCTCGCATCTGTCTCTCTAATGGGTGCATTTGCTGCTGCAGCAGAAAATAAATAAAATTACAATAAAAAGATTTATTTCTTTATTTATTTTAAATTAAATTATTTATTTTTTTATTTACCTGCAGCAAGAAGAGCTGCTCCGAGTCGCTCCACGCCAGATCCCCTGTCTCCAGCAACAGCAGCAGCAGCAGCAGCAGCAGCAGCAGCAGCCTCAGCAGCAGCAGCAGCAGCAGCAGCAGTAGCGGCCACAGCTTCGCAGTGGCAGCAGCAGTCAAACAATCAAGAATGAGGCAGCAGTTACAAACAGCAGCAACACGTGCAGCAGCAGTAGCTGCAGCAGCTGCAGAGGCAGCAGCAGCTGCAGCAGCAGCAGCTGCTACTGCTGCAGCTGCTGCTGCTGCAGCAGCAGCAGCAGGGCCAACGAACCGTACGTGAAGGCTTCTGTAGTAGGAGATGCACTGAGACACTCTGCTGCTTCCAGATAAGCCTGTGCGGCAGCAG